CCAATTATAGTTATGGGCTTAGACACCTAATCCAATAGAATATGCATGAGTAATCAAGGAGCATGTTAAATGTTGTTCAGATGTGGAGCAATATAAAACTTTGAGGGTTATTTTGGTCTTTTTCTGGAATCTTTAAGGAAATAGTATATTCTTCAAGATTGCATATGGGGCAATTTTTCCTACTATGTTACACAAAATCACAGGAAGTGGATTGAGGGGTATTTGTGTCCTCTTTATAGCAATTTTAATATTGGTTTAATATAAATATACATGTATTATAAAGTGGTGAAAAGAAATATTAAGGTTAATGTTTCAAAAGGGAGTTGGTGATTTCTCATGTATAATGGTGCTAAATATGGGTATATTGGGTTTTGATAACAACACCATAGTTATCTTTTAAAAAAATAATAGCAACATACTTACCTTTCAATCCGATAATAGCAATGAACTTATCTTGTTTAAAATAATAACAACATACTTTTCTTTTCAACCAATAATAACAACATATTTACCTTTTAATCCAATAATAGCAATGAAGTTATCTATTGTTACAAATAATAGCAACATATTTATTTTTTTAACAAATAATAGCAATATACTTTTCTTTTTAACAAATAATAGCAACATTCTTTTCTTTTCAACCAATAATGGCAACATGCTTATATTTTTATCAAATAATAGCATCATACTTATCTAGATGCACCATCATACTTATCTTTTCAAGTAACTATTGTTTATTTGACACCATGTAGTGCATCATCAACTGCATAGATTATATTAAACAAATAATTAGTTATTAGTCATTTATCGGTTAACCCATTCATCGAACGGGTACTAAACTAGTTAAATTCTATTATTACTTAACAGCTACAATTAAGCATCCAATCAAAACTCTCTTGAATGAGAAAATTATGGAACACCTAAACCTGATTTTAGAGGGAGCAACACCCCCTCTCTCTGCCTTTCTCTGCTCCTCTCCACCCACTCCATCTTTAACCTTCCACGACTTCGTTTTCAACTCTTCCACTCCCACTTCCCCCTGCTTCTTATCTCCTCCTATTTGGGATCATCTCTCCCATACATATACCACATGCTATCTCCACCGCCAATAACTATTTTCTTAAAAACCCTTTCCTTTCATCCGCTTCTTAAACCTCAATATCTCTCCCAGATTTTCACGTTTCTTCAACCCACACAGTTCCTACCACACGTTCCAGCAACTCTTCCCATGGTTCACATATATAATCATTGGTTATAGAGAGGGCATATTTGACATATAACATTGATATTATATGCTTTTGGAGTTTGATTTTCATGGGGAGGGTATATGGACTAAATGTTGTAATCCAAAGGTGTGGGTATAAGGAAGTTGGATTATTACTAGGAAAAGTTGGTTCTTGTGGTGGAAAATCAAATGGAAACTTGGGAGGAACAATAATAAATTTCATATTGTTTCATCTAAGTAAGTTAATTATAAATGATTTGACTGATGTTATTCATGTTGAATTCCGACTTTAATAGTCGTGTGTTTTTGGTAATTTTTCACAAAACGATGAATTTTTTATGTTATCGGGTGAAATCTTCCGGTATTAGTTGTTTTAACAAAGTATATTGCTATATAGATGATATTGTAACGTTTGATCCAAGTATTATACATTTTTGGTCTCTTATATATTAAGTTATTGCTTTTTGGCATTGTTTTGCAAGTCTGTGGGGAAGGGAGGACCATTCTTGCCAAGATTGGACTTTTGGAGGTGGAGCTCAAATGGAGGGCGTTCCCTTAGGGAACGCATGGCGTTTACGCGAGGAGCTCAAACCCAGGGTTTAGAACCTATTTAAACACCTTAAGTCTCAGGTGTTGGCCTCACTTCCAGCCTCCATAGCCTCAAACCCTAATCTCGAAACCCTAGAGCCTCCTTGAGTGTTGTGAGCTCATTGTGTGTGTTTTAAGCTTATTCAGGGAAGAGAAGCTTGGTGCAAGGTGGTAGTTCAAGTTAGAGCTTTCAGATCTTGGTTCTTTGCTCCATTTCCAACACATTTAAGGTATAAAGCTCTAACCTTGCTTATTAGAAGCTTAGATCTAAGTTTCTATGGATTTTGGTCCCATGGTTGAGATCTTGTAGTTATGATCACTCCAGAAGCTTTGAGTTGCTTATCTTGGTGTTTATAATGTTTTAGATTCATAAAGTTTGCATCTTTAGAGTTGTATAAGTCCTATGTATGAGATTAAGCCCTTTTTATGGAAGTTGAATGCTATACCTTGAAGTTGGGACCTTTTGTGGCATGCAAAGCCACCAAGTCAGTGACTTTATGGTTCTAGATGATCTTTAGGACTTGGATCTAGATTATGTTTGTGTGGCTTTAGGCATTAAGTGCTTAATGAGCACTTTTGGGCATTAGTGTGCGAACGCCTAGTGTTGGGTCAAGGAACCCCCAACATTCTGGCTGAGGCTCGCGATCTATTGACTGGTGACGAACGCCCAGCGTTCCACAAGGGAACGCCCAACGTTCGATCAAACAGTAGGCTTTCCTTGGGCCATTTACTTGGACCTTATTGCTTTGGGCTATAGTGGACCATATGAAATCAGGTTTTGGGTTATTTTTATGTTTGGGCTTTAGGATAAAGCCCATTAGATGAATTTGGACCCAATTTGGAAAATTAGGCCATAAGTGGGCCACTGGTGGGCTTTGGAAGATTATCTAGTGATAGACCTTTTATGTTATGGTTTTGGGCCTTAGTCATTAACCAAATTAGGCCAGGGGTAAGATGGTCATTTTACCCTGAGATGGATTATTGGATCTTGATTGATTGTTATTTTGCATTGATAGTTTGGGAACCTTTAGGGCAGCATCTAGAGATTTCTTTCTGGGAGATTCAACTTTTCGAGGTGAGTTTCCTTACTAGGGTTTAGCGGGTCGAAGGAACCAATGTCGGCCCGTGTGTAGGCTATGTTAGTATGCTAGTTGTCTTTGTGACTCTTGCATGTGTATGTGTTTATATGCTTTCCGGGCTAAGGTCTGATGTCGGGAGGGGCCCGATAACTATTTGTATGCTATGTATCTATATTGCATGTGTATGTGTTTATTTGATATATGTGATATGCATGCTTGGCGGGGCCCGATCTATTACCGAGTTGAGCTCGATGATCGGGCGGGACCCGATTCCGGACAGGGTCCGAAGCCAGGCGGGGCCCACTATATGTTTATTGTATGTATGGTATGTGGTAGTTTGGGGGGAACTCACTAAGCTTTGTGCTTATTGTTTTCAGTTTATGTTTCAGGTATTTCCGGTTGCTAAGGGAAGAGTTCGGGTTGACTACATTGCACACACCAATGAGATTCCGCATATGATGTTTTATTCTGATTTTATGGTAATTGATACATTGGTTTTTATTTGAAATGTTTGCATGATATTGGAAAATACAATTTTATCTATTATTAAAAATAAAATTTGGGACCATATTTTTCGATGTTATAGATATTTTGTGAACATTTGGAAAAGGGCATGTGAATAAGTGAATAAAGTTGTTATTTCATTTGAACATGTAACTATTCTCTTGAACCAAACGATGACCGTAAAGGTTTCTCATAATAAAACAAATCAATATAAGTATGTTGCTATTTCTAGGACTTAACCTTTTGTTTGATGTATTATTGAGGTGTACTTGGTGCATATTGATTGTTCTAATAGAGTGGATTAGGAAAAAAAAATATAAGTATTTTTTTAAAGACTAGTTCAAAATATCCCAAGTAATCCAATCTCTTAAGTTGTTTGCTTTTCATCTAACATTTTTTTGTGTTCGGGTTTTAGGGAAAAAGCTGGACAAATTGGTTATTCTTTAGAATGAAAAATTTTCATTGCAAATTAGTTTTTTTTGTTCTTTCCAAAATTTATTTATGTTAAAAAATATCTTCGTTGCTTTGGATTAGGTATTCAATGTGTCTGATTGCTGTTAATTTTTTATATGTAAAATCAATGTTGAAGTGATTTTCGCAATTAATTTTTCTTTATTTGAGTACTAATTCATGTTTAAAAGTGGCCAATACATTATTTTAATCGTTTTATCGGTAACCAAACTTACAATCTTGCTAGAAATAGCAAATGTACTTTACATATATAGATAGTAAAATTATCGAAACATTTTATATTTTACAGGTGCTTGAGGTAGCCCCACATTGTGTAAAACACATGTTCATGTTGTTTCTGTTACTATAAGCTATTAAGTTATCATATACATTGTCTAAGAGGGTATCTTATTTCAACATGTCTTTTCAAAGAGATTACTGCGACTTCCAGGAAATAATAATCCAGAGAATCATTTGATTAAAGTTACAGATGGTTAAGTAAATTTACTTTCACCTTTAAAATTAGTTTTCTTGCAGCAACACCTTACATGCTTGACTCCTCCAAACGTAATAATTTGGCACAATAAATAAAATATTATAAGCAATTTTGCTACACTGTAAAATCTATATAGACAAATTAATGGAAATACCAATGTACTTTACTCGCTATGCTAATACGATAATAGCAATGTACTTATTTATATATATATATATATATATATATATATATATATATATATATATATATATTCCAACGATAGCAGCATGCTTATATTTTTTTATTACATGTAATAGCAATATGTAACCTATAATAGCAACATATTTCCTTTTTTTTTTTAATAATAGAAATATGTAAGAAAATAAAGTACATTTACAGGTAAGAATAAATTAACGTTGCTGTTATCAATAGAAAATGCCCTAAATTTTTTTATTTTTTATTTTATTTATTTTATTTTATTTTTAGTTTAACTAAAACCACCTCAAAACTTGGAGTGAAATTGGTCTGAACCAAATCTCAACGAGCTTCATGGTTTGGAAGTGATAAAGAGGCAACGAGCTTCATATTATATTGATACAATTTCCTTATTTTAGTATTAAAAATAGAGAAGGATTCCAAGATGTAGTGTATAAATATCTTTATGTTTAACGAGAATGCATCATACAATAATTTGAAATATATTTTGATATAGGTTACATAAGGTCATGAAAGTATATAAAACATTGACAGTTTGACTCATTGTTCCAAAATAATTCACAAAATCCAGCCACGCATGCCCAGTTAAGTGACTGTTTTCAAAGAATAAAGACTAAAAGTTTAAGTCTTTAACAGTAACACAGATACTGAACAAAGAATTAGGAATAAAAAAAGTGTTTACCCATGCATTAATTAGCCTCCATTACAACATTTCTCCCACGGAATATTCCAGACTGTTTTTACATGTCTTTCCATTACTTTTTTTTTTTTTCTAATTGCCAATGAATCCAAGCCAATGGAGAAAGATTGCAAAAAGAAGCATACATACGACCATAACAAACCCCTGCCTCCCCAGAAGCCAATTTTTGGTTTTTACAGCACCTTCACATGCTGTTTTTATTAGATCAGCCAACTTTATCTGTAACAACCCCACCACGTACATCTTTAATAAAACAAAATCCAAAATCCAAAAATCAAGAAAAAATGAATGCATGAATATATAAATAGTGTTTACCAGTCTATGGATGGTCTCTGGTGACAAAGAGGACATGACTTGTTGGGCTCTTTCTGCATCCTCCCGAGAGAATTTGATGTCAGGTGTCATCTTTCCAATCAATAAACCAAACATCAGTCAATCAAATGTCAATTGATACACAATCTGTTAATATGCTTTTTGATTATACAATAGCATATATACCTCACGCATGTCTGGATTCCTCAATTGGCTTTGAATATTAGGAAAGCTGGGCTGACGATTCAAAAACCCTTGACCTTGAGAAGTACCACTCCTTTGACTTTGTTGCCCTTGTGGAATATTACTCCTATTTGTTTCCACTAGATTTTGGGTGTTGAAAGATGATGCCATTTCAGACCTGTTTTGGAGCTCTTCTGCTAGCATCTTAATAATCATGTCAGTTTCCTTTTCACTCATTTCTGAAGAACCATTGTTGTCGCCTTGTAAGGAGGTGATCACTTGGAGCATTTTTAGGAATTCTTCTGGATCGGCTGCAGACATGAGGTTCTCGAAGAATCTATTCAATAAACCAACAAAATACCATACCAAACACTAGATTACTTCTCAAATACTATACAACATGTCATGTCATGTGTAAGAAATGTACACAAACCTGATGAGTTCTTTGTTCTGCAGATACTCTGAGTTGGTTCCCATGTGGCTCACTCTCATTCGTTTATTAACATCATCAGAAGATTCTGAAATACATACAAGATGTGACAAAAGCATACATACATGTTGGTCAATAAAAAACGTGACTTGAAAAAAAAACACAAAATACCTCCTCCTAGTGTACCCTCATCACCATCTTCAATTAATATTTCCTTGCCCTCCCTGTATCATCAGTACATAAAGGAATCTGGAATCAGGACATGGTCATGTTTGGTTTTGGTTGGTCTTGTATTCATATTATATTTTAAACAGTATATAGGAGTCTAGGTTTAGCTCTTCTGCATCCAAAGTAAAACCGAAACCGAAGTAAAACCGAAATTTTTCAAAACCAACCCATGCACAGCCTGATTAATATTCCACACCACTCCATGATTTACTAAAGTATATAAGAAAATTAATAAAAAAAAGAACGAAATACCTGGTAAGATACTTCTGTTCGGACTGGCTCCTTAATTCTGTGTGTGCCAGTGTGCTATCCATGGCTTGTATGCGGCAGTGGGGTCCAAGTACTTCATGGGTATATATCTCGGTTGCAAAAGCACAAGACTGAAGAAGTGATATGGATCCGAAAACAAGTAGACCATTCATCGAGGAAATACTATGTGGAAGATGACTTATTCCTGTAAACCCTATATTTAACCCTTGTAAAAGCTTTAGGTTTCCCAAATCCTCTGGCAATTTCTCAACTTGTCTACATTCGCGGAGATAGAGATGAGTCAAAGATTTCATGTTACAGATGCTGTTTGGAATATCTCGTAAAGATTCACACTGTCCCAGGTTTAGCATCTCTAAACTCTTTAGTTGCCCAATATCCTCGGGTAACTTCTCGAGGCGTCCACAAGAGTCAAGGTGTAGAGATTTCAGATGACTCAGCATGCAAATGCTATCTGGAAGACGTCTAATACTTATAGAAATGAACATCAGCTCCTCTAAATTTCCTAACCAGCCAAGGTTCTCCGGTAACTCTTCAAGATGTTGGCAATCTCCAAGTTTGAGAGATTTCAGATGTTTCAACATACAAACACTATCAGGAAGACGCCTAATACTTGCAGTCGACAAACTCAGCTCCTCTAAATTTTCTAACAAACCAAGATTCTCCGGCAACTCTTCAAGATGCTGGCAATCACTAAGTTTGAGAGATTTCAGATGTTTCAACATACAAACGCTATCAGGAAGACGTTTGACGTGTGTAGATAACAAAATGAGTTGTTGCAAGCCTTTCAGCTGGTCAATGTCCTTGGGCACCTCCGGAATACAGCCCTGGAATTTAACTTCTCTTAGATGTTGTAAGCCACAAATGCTTCCTGAAACGCTCTCAAGTTTTGTGCAAGGCTGAAGATCTAGAAAAACACTCTTAAAATTAATTCCTTCTCTTGACGAGGGTAGTTCTTTATAATACACAAATGTAAATCGTAGATTGTTTGTGGAGTCCCTTGGAAATGCCTCCATGGGATCCACTTTCACAGCTAACACAGGTAGACTAAGAAGCACATGTGGTTCCAACTGTTTAACAAAAGGAAAAGATACAGACCATGGGCAACCACGTAAATCTATGTAGATAAGCCTTTTTAGACATCCAGCAGGCGCATAAATCTCTTTCAAATCATGACATCCTTCAAGATCTAACCTCTCAAGATTGGGAGTCATCCCAAGGTCAAGGATGCTCACCTTCGAATTTTTAAGGTTCAGGAACCTGAGTTTCTCAAGAACCTATCAAATGCAAAAAGAAGAAAAAAATTAGACAGAGTATTGTTGTGGACGAAAGCATTACACTGAATCAACCACTGTACCATTCTTTCCCCACTTTCCCGAAGGGTCCTCAAGTTTGAATTACCCAGGAGGAAGAACTTGAGCTTCTTAAGAGATTATATCATATGCAAAAAGAACAAAAGTTAGACAGAGTATTGATGTATCGACCAACAAATAGACGAAAAACATTACATTGAATCAACCAATGTACCTTTCTTTCACTACTTTCCCATAGTTGCGTGATTCTGCTTCCAGTCAATTCAAGTCCAACAAGATTCTTTGCTCGAAATGTGTGGGGTAAAGAGAAACCAGGGTATTTATCCCATATCAGATACTGTAACGAATTCGGAAAGGAGGGTTTCGTTTCATCAAACTTCCAGTCACTAGGGAAACAGTCACTAACGATCCCCAAAACACAAAGATATCTAAGTCTCTTCAGGTTTCCAAGTTTTTGGATGATAATTTCAGGACTCAGTTCACACAGCAGCAAGAGCAGCAGCATTCCGGTACATGTTGAGGTTGCAGTACCCTATATATGATCCAAAAAGCAGTCACCATGAAACTTGTGTCAGAGGCTGCAGTACCTATAATTAAAAATATGTTGCTTGCAATAAATTCGATCCTTACCTCATCATCAGACAATAATTCTACAATTTCCTCTGTATTCCAGAGTCGGCTATGTTTGTTGAGTTCACGGGGGTGCTCTCGCCGAATAATATTCTTGCCCAATTCTTGTATTGTATCATGCATGCCCAATCTACCATCTGAAATTGTTACAAGAGATTTGTGCTCAAGAATTCTTAAACCATATGTAGCATGAAATCCACAGCTCTCAAGGATTCTAATTGCAAATTCATGAGAAAGCCCGTTCAAGAAGCATGCAACATCTAAGAAGATTTCCTTGTGATCATCTTCTAGGCTGTTATAGCTTATTTCCAATACATCTAGAGTCTCTTGTAGTGGAATTTTTTCAAGTCTTTTAAGTGCATCTCTCCATACATCCTTATTTTCACCACACAGATGGGAACCCAAAACTCTAATCTTTAAGGGAAGACCAGCAGCATAACGTACTACTCGGGCTGTGAGCTCTTCGTACCCTTGATCTGGAATATATCTCCTAAACGCAAACCAAAGGAAGAGGCGAATTGCTTCCTCATCCGACAAGAAATCGACATCATGAATCCATTTCTTTTTCACTTCATGTGATAGCAGCACATTCTCGTCTCTTGTTGTAATGATGATTCTACTTCCATTCTTAAACCAATCACCAGCTAACGCCTCAAGCTGTTTTGTATCATCCACATCGTCTAGAACAAGAAGCACTTTCTTATACGGTAGCCTCATTCTCATGATTCTTTCCCCTTCATTAACACTTCCCACACGCATGCGTTCATCTTTAAGAACATCCGAAAGGATTTGTTGTTGCAATGACTCCAAGCCCTTCTTTTTTGAAACTTCTCTTATGTCAGCAACAAAGCTACTACCTTCAAAATGGGAAGAAAATTTATTAAAAATAGCTTTGGCTAAAGTCGTCTTCCCAATGCCTCCCATCCCCTTGATCCCTATCATCCGGGCTTTATCGTTCAATCCGATCCCCAAAGACGGCTCCAGGGCTTGCATCCGCCGTTCCATGCCTATCAGATGTTCATCATTGCCCAAATGAATGGAACCTAGCTTCAATGAAATTTCTTCAATAATTTTTGTGATGGCTTCAGCTTCATGCCTGTAGATTAAATAATATTTAAGTAGCTTGCTCAAGATCCCACATGATCAATTAGTTTCAGCACTATACCATACACATATTTCATGTTTCACAAATATATATATATATATATA